GTGTGTGTGTGTGTGTGTGTGTGTGTGTGTGTGTGTGTGTGTGTGTGAGTGAGTGAGTGTGCGGCTGGGGCGGGGTTGATGATGCATTGAAAAAGAACTCGAATCGTTTTGCTCAACTGGTTTTTTGGACTCAGGAAGTGGGAGTGTCCTGCCAGAATATCTGCGTCTCTTTCTCTCCCTCTGCGTGTCTTTACCTCTCTCGCTCGCTCCCTGTCAGCCTCTCCTCCCTCTCCCTCCGGCAGAAGCACAAGTCTCAGTAAGTAATACAAAAACAGATGTTTGTCCTCCTGTGTGAAGTGAGTGTTTAGTTTAAATGCAGGTCTGATGTTTGTTTGATGAACTATTAGTCGTGTGTGCAGCGTTATGAAGTGTGCGTGTATGTCTGTGTGTGAAACCTGACGCTGTTAAGACTGTGTAAACATAGACCGTTTGCATATTGTTCACTCCCGTCTCCAGTAGTGGAAAAGTACAACAAAGAAAGAATATCGCATTGAACAGAATGATCCAGTTCTGCATTTACAGTTTTACTTGACTTAAGGAGCGGCAGTGAAGTGTACCTCAGTACACTGTTGTAACGCAGAGCAGTAGCCTTCACTGTACTGCAAAGTAAAAGTATTCATTATGCAGAACACCTCCCTATAAAGTGTTATTATATATATAATATTATTATTATTATTACTGGATTCATACTGATGCATGAACAGTAATGTTATTGCTGACTTGAACTACTTTATATTAGAGCTGCAACAATTAGTGCAACGAATTAATTGAACAAAAACAATTTGGCAACGATTTGATTATTGATTGATTGATTGATTGATTGATTAAGTAATTTTGAACATTTGATGGAATTTTCTGGATGAATTGATAATGAACTGAATATATTGTTGGGTAGTTTAGTCTATCAGAATACGTCATATCTTATAAACCGATTATGTGTTTCTTCATATAAAATCATAATCGGCAAAGTGACCTGTAACTGCGACTGTAAAATAACTGCAACAACACTCTTCTCTGAAATGTGATGAAGTAGCAGCATAAAAAGCACACTTACAGTACTTGTACTTGTATATTGTGTTCTATATATTCATCCTGTAAGTCAGCTGGCAGCACAGCCAACATACAGCTTTGAGGTCAGAAGAATCACTTCCTGCATGACGTCATTGTGTATTTTAATTATTACTTTTATTTAAAATATTCAAGACATCGACTGACACATTTTCATGGCATATGTTTTGGATTTCTACTTGAATGAAGAGTAGTTCTGTGAGTGTCAAAAATACATTACATAATATTATATTAGTTTTATGTCATTTTATTATATTTTAGTATTTTTATTCAGTCTATTGATTATGTGATTGTGAACCAGAGTCGGTAAGACCAGGACCCAAAGAGATGTCTTCAAACTCCTCTGACCAAACTGACCATGACTCCATTAATTCATCATCATTGGTTGATGTTATGTTGACCAAATATTGTTTCAGGGTTGTATTCCTTTTTAAAGTCTCCACATGTGTTTTTTGTGTAAAAGATGTTGACCTTTATTCTGACTTTGGCGTCTGTTGTTTATTGCTGACCTTCTCTCTCTGTCTCTTTTTCAGACACAAGGCAAAATGTTTTTTGCAAAGAGTTTGATCAGCGGCATCATTGATGTTGTGAGGTGAGCACACAGAAGGTCTTTTTTATTTCCCTTTCTTTGATGGAGCTAGGCAGAGCTAACGGTGTCTATTCTGCTTCCAGTCTTCGTGCTAAGCTAGGCTAACCGTCTGTACTGCATGCACATATTCATCTTTTCACAGCTGCTCTCTGACTCGTGTCTTGTTTTTTTTCCCTCCAACAGCAACATCGACCCGGCTCAGTTTAAGTCCTCAGACCCTGTGAGTGTAAAACCTGATCCTCTGAACCCGTGATTAGACCTCAAACACACACCTTGAGCCTAACGTCTCACAGAGTGTGTATCTCTATGGATGCTCTTACTGTCACTTAATAATCTCTTCAGACCCGAGTATGTCGTGGTGTCGGAAAAAGAAAATGCACTTTTTTTAAAATGTGTCTTTGTTAGAATGTATTCAACCAACAAATGTCATGTTTTGACATGTTGTGTCCAGTTGACAGAGAGTGACACAACACAAGATCAGGGTGCAGTGTTGTACAGTATTTATCAAACTGCTAAAAGTAAAATACAAGACGTCTGTGAGAGATTAAAAAAAATCAAACTCAAGAATGAAAACTAGTTATGAAACTTCTTACGAGATCCAGAGTGTGATTGGCTTAGAGTATACATGTCATTAATCATGTGATCACTTGAGAGTTTTTAACTTTGCTCTTTGCTGTAAGTAGCTTCAATTCCAACCTGTTCTCGGTGCAAATCCCAATGTTTCAAGATACTGATGCTCTTTTCTGTGGATTGGAAATATTTTGCGGCAGCTGATGACTTTTTTCTCCCTCGATAACAAAGAGAATCATTCTAAGATTAGATGTAAATCTGTTTGTGTCCGTGTCCTCGTAGCAAGCGTCCCCACGTTGTGTCCCGACCTCTTAACTGTGAAACTCTTTGTAGATTTAAGAGGTTTGATTCAACCTTGTTACTGACACTGAGAATTCTCCCAGTGGAAGATTTCAGAAGCAAACAAACACACTGAATGTTTAAATGCAGCCAGGGCCTCATTCCTCTGCCTAACAGTAGCTCTTTGTGTGTGTGTGTGTGTGTGTGTGTGTTTTCAGCCTCCTCCTCGCAGACCTCTGAACTTCACCGAGTCTCATGACAACGATGAGGAGAAACAGTTTCGGAGAGTTTTCAAACAGCTGGCTGGAGAGGTGAGTCCATAATAATCATGTCTGTTCTCAGGTCTGTGTTTCCCTCTCAGTTTCATTTGATCCCAGTGAAGCTGTGGTTCCCGCCCACTTTCTATTCATCCTTCCTGCACACAAATGAGCCTTGATAGTGGGGTTGGAAAATGACTGGAGCATCACATCATCATGTTTCGTTGTACATAATTACTAAATGCAGTAACAGACCTCTCAGTCACTTAGATTTCATGCTCAGCTGAAACTTGAACTGATGACCTCCTTCAATCAAAAATCCCTTTATCGTTGTTAGGAGCTGTGCAGAGTTCAAGGTAATTACTGCAAAACTAGACTCTAAAGTTTGATAATGATCATGAAGATGCTCCTGGAGAACACCGTCCGGGCACTATTTCTTCAGCAGATAATAAGTAGATGTAGTTTTTCGTGGCCTCGTCCTTTAACAGACTTTTAAAGGAACAGTGTGTAGGATTTACATAGTATTCACAACTGTGTTTTCATTAGTGTATAGTCACCTGAAACCAAGAGTCGTGTTTTCGTTAGCCGTTAACCACAGATGTTTACTTCCCAAACACATAATAAATTAGCATTAAATGAAATAGTAAGGTGTTAGCAAAGGTGCGTGTGTTAATAAACGGATAAACGGGAGTCGGAATACGCTGCACAAGTTGCGTGAAACACACAGAAGTCTGAAAAAGGCACCAATCTGAAAGATTAAACAGATTTGTGGAGCAGAAATGTTTTTCCGGTTTTGCTTTCGGGTTGACCTTGTGACACCTTGTCGGCCCCCCCCCCATTTGAGAACCGCTGGTCTGTTGTGTGTCTTTCCCGCAAAACAATCACGTAAACACCAAACTTAACTTCAACCATCAGACACATTTCGTTTGCTGATTAGTTTCTTTCAGATAGTTTGCAGTTCACCGTTTTCCTTTTATGTATTTTTAGTCAGTGCTATTAAGAATAAACAACTAGGTAACATGTAGTATGTTTAACGCAATCAGCGTTTTTCCAATCTGAGGAGTAAATGTACGTTTGTAATTGAATCATGTCTTTTGAAATGTGTCTGCATACCTATGTTGTGACGTTTTACACCTCCGTCTCTCTTTAATCAGAGGAAGGATATGTTTCGCTGCACCCTGTTTCAGGAGTTTCTTGTTTTCATTCATTCAGTACTCAACTGAAATGTCGACCTGCTTTGGCTGCTCGGCAAGTTTGGTAAAGATGTGTCTATCTCTCTATGAGTCGGTCGTTCTCTCTCTTCTCACCTGATCCTTCTTCACCTTACCACACCTGTCTGCCTGCTGTCGGCTGCATTCCAAACTCCACCCTCCACTGTCCCCTCCTCTCTCTCTCTTACTCACTTTGTCTGGTTCATCACCATCGTGCCCGACAGGTTCTTCTACCGGTCTGTCTCACACCAACAAATACTAAAAAATGTATGTTGAATTAAAATCACTTTACAGAAATGAATTTGAATAACTTTAACATTGAACAGAGCACAAAAGGATAGTAATAAACTAAAAAGAGTGTGTATTGTAAAGTGCACTTTTCTACTGATACTCTTTCAACTAACTCTAAAAACACCAGAGCCCTGATGTTCACAATAAACGTCTGATCGGCCAGAGAGTTAACAACATATCAACATAGTGGTGGCAGTAATGTACCAATAAGCTGAATGCCAACCACCGTAAAACCAGAAGAAGAAGACAAAATAGTGTCTCCAGACAGAATGCAATTTAATTAGTGCTGGGCAAGTTAACGCGTTAATTTTGCGTTAACGCATTCATTAATTAACGCCGACAATTATTTTATCGCACGTTAACGCATTTTTTAAATTTATTATTATTATTTTTTTTATTTTTTAATTTTTTAATTTTTTTATTGAAAGACAAAAGACAATACATAGACATAACAACAGGAGGATGACAAGAACAGTGGGATGAAAGCCAGTAAACATCCTATAGTCAGACACTTACATTTTAGTGCACCTATATGTTGAAATTCACGGTAAACGCTTTTAAACGGCACAGATCGGGAGCGAGCGAAGGACTTTGAAAGTTAGCGGAACATTAACGTGAGACAACATCCGGTTTCTTGAGATGAACATCCGGTTTTCAGAATAAGATGCCAACAAAGTATGAATTATATTCACATTAAGTATAAAACATGCTACCTGCATCTCGTGAACCAAATGGTATTGCACTTTTGTTCATATAGCAGTACTTTTTAAAATAAAAGTGCACAATACACTACTTTTGAATTCATTATTGAACTTTGCCATAACAATGCGATTAATCGCAAAAAATCCATGCGATTAATCGCGATTAAATATTTTAATCGCGATTAAATATTTTAATCGTTGCCCAGCACTAAATTTTATATGTTGTTGCTGTATTCAAAGCGCAATATGGCAATATTTTCTCGATGTGTGTATTACACAACTGGACATAGCTATGACAGTAAAAACAGAAGTGATATACTGTGCAGCCCTAGTTTGAATACGGTTAAAAGCATCGGCTATAAATAGTGAAATACATACCAACCAAATCCAACAGGTAGCCCCTGGGCAGCTGCATTGATAGCATCAAATAAAAGAAACAGCCCCTGTGTCAGCCCCTGTATTGGCTGCTGAAAGGCATTAATAAGAAATGGAAGAGAGAGTTGGAGGAAACAGAAAGTTGTCCTCTGAACTCTGAAGCTCTGTGTTCTAAAATGTGTCCACTTTGTGGAGCATTTTCTTTTAGTTTTCAGGGTCAAAACAGAGCAGAAACTCTGTGTTTTCATGTGATATTGAGAGAGAATCGATCCAGAAACGGGCAGAGACAGTGTGACAGACTGAGCAGACGCCAGTCAGTGATGGCCGGATGTTGTCTTATCTCAGTCAGGAAGCCTTGTAATGCATTAAGCAGAAATGTGATTTCCAGCCTTCTGAATTGAATCAGACAGAGAGAGACGAGAAAGCTCCGGAGGGGAATTTATATTCTTGTAAATGTTAATACTCTTGTTGCAAAGTTAATTTTAAACATTTAAACTGTTTCTTTTCATTACATTACAATCCTGATGCCACTTACGTTATCTTTCAATGATCACTTATTGTGTATTAAAAGCTAGAAGCAGCGCTTTGTTTCTGCTATAGATCCCTCTTCAGTTCACAGTGGCATTCTGGGACATTGAGGGAGGATTAAACGCTCATAACCAAATGTTAACATATCAGCTGGACTTCAGAACCAGAGTGTTGTTACAGATAAACAGGGACTCCATTTACTGTGTCCTCAGCAGAGTCGGCTCCAGGGAGTGTTGGAAAGAGAGCTCTTTCTCTGCATTCCTACCATTGTCTGCCAGGGCGGCACCCGAGCCTGAGGGGCGTTTGCTGTGTGTGTGTGTGTGTTTGTATACTGTGTGTCTGAGGTTTTCTCTGACTCATCAGAGGGATATGTGCACCAGTTAGACCAGAACTCAGCCCACTGTCAGTAGTAAAGTATCTCCACCCACCTGGCTGAGCTCCGGGTGGGTGGAGATCTGTAAAACGTGACCGGTAAAGATGGAGTCCGCTGTGACTGACTATGGTTACTTTTTAAAGGCACAAACCTCGATTCAGTCGGAATATATTGAAGTTGAGTTTGAAAACATCAACCGTGGATTAGGAGGAAAGTTGAGAATTTGAGTCTAGTCTAGTTTAGTTTTGTTGACACGAAAGGAATACTTTACCCTTAAAGTGAGCATTTGTGTATCAATGACTCATCCACTGTTACCTTGAACTTTTGATGAAAAACGCTGAACAGAATCAAAAAACTGAAAAAAGTCTTGATGAACTGATGTCACTGGGGGGGTAGTGCCGTTGTGCACGCCTGAGACTGTTTATGCTGAAAGAACAAAGGAAATAGGCCTTTACAACAACCAAAAGAGACAACCTAAAATGAAATGATAAGCTTACATATATCATCCAGAGGTTTATGTTAAAACAGTTGAGAACGCTTGAGAACTGTGTTTCATGGGCATCTTCAACTTCAAATTGCCCACACCTGACTCGACCCGACTAATTGGCTGGAGCGCCGTGGGAGTTGTAGTCTTATAGTTTTCTTTGGCCTACAAAGGTCACCACTTGGTGGCAGTTTTGTTTTGACTATTTACCAAAAACAATACAGGCTCATCTCTATGTCAAAAATCACAACAGGTTTTTGTCAAAACTGAGAAAACACAAATTTTCTCATGACCTTGTAATTTCTTCTTGCTCATCGTGTGAAAACAAATCCGTCTCAACCAAATTTCCCTCTAGCCCATTTCCTTTTCAGTTGCATTAATCTGCACAGTTTCACCACAAAGATGTGTCTTTTAGGAATGAGTTAAGGCATTGCTTGTGCCTGCATGGTGCTGTGAAAGGACCCACCCAGAGATAGCATGGCGCTGCTTCACAGTGTTTGTGCAACAGGGAGAACATTTGAGAGTTATTATGAGGTTTTTAGTTTTTTTCAGCAGTGAGTCAGAAGCTGGAAAAATATCAAAGGAAATAAAAGGAAACAGCTTGAGTTTGGTTTGAGTCACGCTCAGATCAGCTGTGACTCACTGTGTTTGTGGGGTTTCCTCTGTGGAAAGAAACGACCCGAGCACAAACACCCTTTTCTGATGTGTGTGTGTGTGTGTGTGTGTGTGTGTGTGTGTGTGTTTTAACAGGACATGGAGGTGAGTCCATGTGAGCTGAAGAACATCCTCAACAAAGTCCTTGGCAAACGTGAGTCTGCTTTACTGCTTTCCTACTACATGAAGGTATTTCTTCCGTTTGGCAATTCTATTTCTGCTGTTCTCACAGCAACTGTTTTACCTACTCACACGTTTTGTCCTCACCAGTATTTCTTACTGATGTATTTTATTTGAAGGTTGAATCAGTTAATGTTGGTTTCAGATGGAGGCCTGAAGACTGACGGTTTCAGCATTGAGTCCTGCAGGAGCATGGTGGCTGTCATGGACGTATCCTTTCACTAAACATGGTGCTAACACCGTGATACTACAAGCACTAGAAATAGCAGTGGCAGCAGTGGCAGTAGTAGTAGTACCAGGAGTAGGGAACTCAGAAGCAGTAGAAGCAGTAGTAGCAGCAGCGCTAGTCGCAGTTCCATTAGCAGTTGTAATAGTGGAAGTAGCAATTGTAGCTCTATTTCTGTTGTAGAAATAGAGGAAGCAGTAGCATTTAAAGTAGCAGAAGCAATAGAAGTAACATCAGTAGTAGTATAAGTAATAATTGCAGTAACACTATCAACAGCAGCAAGAGCAGCATTAGTACCAATAGTAATAGATCCAGTAGTAACAGTAGTAGCAGCTGTAGTAGCAGCAGTAGCAATGGTAGAAGTAGCAGAGGCAATAACAGTGACATCAGTAGTAGTAGAAGTAACAGTTGTAATAAGACTATCAACAGCAGCAGTAGCTGCATTAATACTAGAAGTAATACTACCAGTAGCAGTAACAGCTGTAGTAGCAGTAGTAGCAGAAGCAATAGCAGTAATTCAAGTAATAGTTGTTGTTACACTATCAACAGCAGCATGAGTAGATCAAATACAACTGTATCCCATGGGAAATAGTTTTTATAGACTATAAAGTAAAGGTAGTCGTAGCATAAGTAGTAGTAAAAGTAACAGCAGTCGTGGGAGTAGAAGTAGCAGTAAAGTAGTAGCAGTAGTAGTTGTATCTTTACTAGTTGGGTTTGCAGGGTTGTGTGAGTGTGTTCTTGGTGTACTCTGCTCTGCTTTGTGAGCTTGACCTTTGACCTGACTCCCTTCAGAGTGACAGCACAGGTAAACTGGGCTTCCACGAGTTCAAATACATGTGGAACAACATCAAGAGATGGCAGGTCCGTTTGTCTTCTTCTTTAATTTGACCCTTTTTTAGATTTTTTTTCAGGATATAACAGTGAAAACAGTTTGTGTTGTTTCACCGCATTGTTTATTTGTTTGTTGTTTATTTTCTCCAGGCTGTCTATTTAGAATACGATGCAGATGGTTCAGGTACAATCAACTCTTGTGAACTGCCAAACGCCTTCAAGGCTGCAGGTGAGGAACTGTGTGTGTGTGTTTAAATAACCAGGAACATCGGTGTGAACTGAGTGTAAAGTTTCCAACTAACTGTGTGTTTGCAGGTTTCCCTCTGAATGACCAGCTCTACAAGCTGATTATCCGTCGCTATAGCGATGAGCACGGCAGCATGGACTTTGACAATTTCATTGGCTGCCTGGTGCGACTCGACGCCATGTGCAGTGAGTCTCTCCCTCTTCCTCAGCCTCTCTCCTCTCTGTTTTTAAAGGTGCATCACTGCACCCTAATGATATGTATGTGTCATGCATCATTTTATACACATTTCTATACAAAATCAGCCAGACATACTGTGTGTCTTCTCAATCAAAATCATTTCAAATAAGGTTCTGAAAGCTTGTTTAAAGTTTGTCGCAAATCATCGTACGTCTTCATTTAATCAAAGAGCCTAAAAGTTTGAATGAAATGTCCAAAGAAAGAAAGTGCTCTCCAACTTTTTCCTCTGCAACTGTAAAGAGGCAGAATAAATATCATGTTTTCTTCCTTATGATATGGGTTTGCCAAAGTGCTGCATTCATTTGACATCAAGTAAATGATGGGAATTAAATCTGTGGAGTGACGAGTCTTTCCTTTAGAAGGGTTTTCTGTTTGTGTTGCCAATCTTTAAATCTTTAAAATAATCATTATTTACTGATAAAATATTAAAGACTAATATGGCTGTATTGAGTCATCAGATATGGTAAATGATGTGTGTGTGTGTGTGTGTTTTCTGCAGGAGCCTTTAAGACCCTGGATAAGGGCAACAGAGGCACCATCGACCTGGACATCAAGGAGGTAATTAGCTCACTTCACTCTTTTCTTTCAATCAATTCTCCTAAATTAAGTTTAGATAGAGCTTCATCCATCCCAAGGGGGATCTTAGTGCAGCACTTGCAGTGCAAAGGGTGAAGAAAAAAAAACACCATACAAATTATAATCAAATTGTCTATTGTACTTCTCATAATAATGCTAGTACAACGACAACAAAAAGACAACATTAAACCTCCGTATTGTAATCCTCTTTGTGGTAAAGTCAATAGTAAAAATGATCTATCAGATAGTATCAGGTATTAAGAAGGAAACAATGGTTTTAATTAGGATTACAATACAGAGGTCTACGCTGTGTTCTTTTTGTTAGTTATACTAGCATTATTATGAGAAGTGCAATAATCAATTGTTTTCAGGGTTTTTCTTTGTACTGCAGCGGCTGCACAACATCTTTCATCGGGATAGTTCTCTTTATTCATATCTGATACTTTCTGATAGACAATGTGTACTATCAACTTTACCACAGAGAGCACTGAGTTTAACTATCTGAGTTTTGACAGATGTTCAATCCTAGCATCATTTAGGACAATATTAACTGTAAATAAAAATGGAGATGGAATGATATTTCTAACCTGAAAAAGTGCTGTGAACGCATAGTAATGATTAAAGGGACACATATGTGTGTGTCAACATTTGTATCAAGTGAGATCATCTGTCATCTGGAGGCCGGGCAGTAAGAACAACGTTTAGTGAGACTTGAGTAAGAAAATAAACCTGAAACTATAAAAGTGAGAGGGTTGAAAATAGGATTTTTATTGGAAATAAACAGTGATTTGAAGGATTTTAGTACTATGTGTAAGTACTTTTACTCAAGTAATGTACTTGAGTAGCTTTTACTCCACTACATCTCAGAGGGAAATATACTTTTTACTACTTGTTGATGTTGAATATCTGTGATAAAGTGAAGGATGAAGTGTTCCTTTATGTGTCGAGAACGTCCTCCTACTTCAGCTGGAAAAGGCATCGTCACAGATACGTGGCTCTCACAGGACAGAGACGCTACAAACACATGATGATCTCATAGAATATGATGCATTGCTGTAGATTATACCAGCCAACAGAATATAAAGGCATTAAAAACATGTTAAATGTAACATAAACATTAATGCAGCCTGATATTAATCCAGAAACATCATATATAATAGTAAAACACTGACAGGAAACATTTTACTGCACAATGAGTACTTTTACTTTAACTACTTCATTTTACTGATGACATACTTTTACTGACGTAAGGTTTTGAATGCAGAGCTTTTACTTGTAGCGGAGTATTTTCACAGTGTGGAATTAGTACTTTTACTGCAGTAAAGGAGCTAAGTACTTGAAATGATGACATTGCAGAGCTACTTTGACACTAACAGTGTGTTTGTTTCTGTCTCTCAGTGGCTTCAGCTGACGATGTACTCATGAAGTGTTGGAGGGAAGCTGCTCCACAACAACAAAAACGTCTTCTCTTCTTTCATCTCACCCTTCACTCCCTCTCGTGTGTGTGTGTGTGTGCGCTTGTGGCTGTGCAATAGTGTTTGAAAACCCCCTCGTCATCGTGGTAACGGGACCAAAGTGCAGCGACCAAAGTGGAGCTGATGCTGCTGTTGCACTGTCCTGCTGCTGCCAGGCAGTGGTGCTGCAACGTCCCCATGTTACACATTTCTATATTTCATTAGGGTAAAGTTTAAACGGTCTTGATTTTTTTATCAGAAACCAAATAAAGTGACACAACTGACGATTAAGTGTTGTTGCGGCTAGTTTGTGAGTGTGACAACTTCTTCTGGATTTTCATGCAAGTAGTGTTTCTCTACACAGCAATCTTTTTAAATAACTTCAGATATTGTGGCCATCACTGATCATACTTACTGCCCGATACTTTTTCTGTTCATTTTAAACGAAAAAGGAATTCTGATGTTTTACTTTCAATGTGGCAGAAAGGAGCTTCAAACACAAACATGGGGGGAAAAATCCTTGATGAAGTTGTCAAAGGTGCCAGCTTTAGTTTGTGTGTTATCAATGAATGTCCATATGAGAGACTGGTTGTTGAGATTGTAGTGATTTATTGTAACAGCCCTCCTTTGCGGCTAGAGCCTACAGTATATTCCTGGAACATTTTATTTAAGTTAACCTTTTATTAAACCAGGAAAGCTACATTGAGATGAAAGATTTATCCTTAATAATAATAATAATAATGATACATTTATTTAGTATAGCATCTTTCATTGAACAAGATTCACAAAGCCAAAAAAAAACAGTAAAATAATTCAAAACAATCCATAAAAGATGAAAACACAGAAAATGACGAACAGTACAAAGCACAAAGGGACACAAAGGCCAGTTTAAATGAGTTAGTTAGTCTTCAGCTGCTTTTTTAAAGGTGTCAACAGAAACCACGGATCGAACGTCTCCAGGAAGAGCATTTCAGTGTCGGAGCCACCGCTCCAAAGGTACGGCCACCTTTAGTTTTCAAGAGCGTCCTGGTCAAGTTAGGCAACAATAACAACAATATAAGACAGATGACACAAAATATGCCACAATATCACAAATGAAGATTATACAAACAGGAATAAGTTAGTGTGATGGCCCTCTATGCCGTGTCGGCACAGTCAAAGAGGGTCGCTAGATAAACTACAATTTTGCCATTTAAAATTACGATCATTTTTTTTTTTTTCAAATCTTTGTTTTTGATCTTGGGAATTATCCATTGTGTCTCTTGAGGACTCTAAAATAAATATGTAAATAAACAAAGAATTAAAAAAAACAGTTTGTTGAACTGGTCAAATCAGTAGACATATGATCATCCCTTTGTTTCCAGGATAACAACCTGCTTCAGCTCAACTTGTTTTTTCAATACAAATAATGATGAAAAAGTAATTTTAGTATAAATGACCTCACATTAAAATCCTATTCAGCCTTTTTTTCACATCTGATATTATATTACCTGAATTTCCTATCTGGTGATCAAAGAAGGCGTATCGTATTTTATATCTTCATATATTCGTATCACACTATGAAAACCAGGAGCCAATAGCGTACTATGTTAGTATTGACTTTATTGACCCAATATTATCACTAGCTATGTTCATATATGTCCCCTATAATACTCGTACTGTGTATAACATACTTTTGATACAACGCGTAGCTTTTTAATGCCCCACAATCACACTGTGATGTTATCACTTTGATAGGAACTTTGAGTTTTAGTGAACTGACGCTGTGGCACGTTTGGTGTGGGGCGGGGCCGGCCGGTGTGGCGGAGAAGGGGGGCGGTGCAGAGGAGAGGGGATGCTGAGGAGGGAAAACAACAGGAGGAACAGGTTTCTGCGGAGGTTTTAATTCGGACAATCTGGACAACAACTCACGAGAGAATCCGAAGAAGAGACTGTGAAAGGTAGGAGGGCTGGCTAAGTCTGCGTCCATAGAGCAGACTTCATTCAAAGAACACATATACATGTAGATATCGTTAAAGTCTCTACACCCGCCTGCTGTCGGTCCAGTTCACTTCTACTCAACGCAAGTTGGTGGTTCGATAAAGAACCGTCCTTGATAGTGGAGTGGAAATGAAAAAGCCACAGCGAGGTGTTGAAATATAGTTTGAGGATTTTAACTGACAGATTTGAAAGGAACACTATCATGCAAAGCAAAGGCAAACTGGATTAGTTAATTAACCAATCAGCATAAATGAATTATAAAATAGTATGATGTAAAAGCCAGTGATGATAGTCTGCATGTCTCTCAGTGTAAACAATAAGTGATGTGTTTAATAGCAGAGGAACAGATCTGTCCGGTTACACCGATTTATAAAGAATCAGCTATTTTTTCTTTTTAAAGATCAATTCCACCTGATGCATCGCTCAACTACCTTCAATCATCATCTTTTATCTTCCTTTAATGCAGTATATCTGCACATTTCATATTTGAAATGAACAACATTAGTTGCAGATATTCGATTAAATTGTGGCCCATATACAGAAAAATATAAAGAGTCACGGGCCAAACAGCATGTGTAGTTTTCAACACTGCAAGAACTTTTCTAAACCAGAAAACCCCGCGTGCTATAGAAGATGAATTTGCTATCAAACATTTACTAAACATATACTGTGTCAGTCATTTGTTAGTGTTCCCCCTAGACTTTAGGTGTGCCCACATATTTCTGTATCTGCTGCTCTTCAATTTAGTTTAGAATAATAATAATGATGCAGTGCATGGCATAAAAGCGCCCAATTAAATTATTATGATGATTATTATGAGGAAGTAAAGATAAAACAGGAAGAAACTGCCAATGTGATTTCTGTTCATGGTGTAAACTTCCACTTAAAGGATTATGATGCAAATGTAATATGTAAATCCCTAAGTCTTAAGATGTAACAATCTCATTTAATTCCCCGTGGGCCGCTGTTGGCCAGCTGGCCGTAGTTTGACTGACCCCGGTTGTAGAGGTTGTAGACTGGGAGTTCACCCAAGTGTTTATCTACACACGATGAGCAGTAGGGGCTGTGTTAGCAGTGTGCAGCGTACAGGTGACGTCAGGATGTGTGGCAGGAAGGCTTCATTGTTTACTATCGGCTGCCTCTCGAACAGGTCGACCTCTCTGACTGTTGACTCTGTGCCGTGCTGCCTGACAAGATGGTGGGGTGATTTTAATGTACAGCTTTGGAAGATGAACTCCTTCAAAGACAGCTGTCACCTCATTGGTCAGATGCTCATCCTGACATGCGGATCTTTAGCTGCAGTTCCTGTCACGTCCATGAGATGCTGCTTGTGCATATTGCTATTGCGATATGATGTGCAATATAAGGATGAGTGATGATTTTTGCATCATTATTCTCATTATAATTGAAAAACATAAAATGATTATGTTGTGCTTTTTGCTTGATCAGAGATCTGGACTGTGTGAAATGCACTTGAGTGTTTTTGGGCAGAAGGAAAGTCTTACTTAGCGTTGAAACACTTTGATTAAGTGATTAGTTAAACTGTCAGCCAGAAAAATACCAAAAATGTTCTGCTTGCTTCAAATGTAATGATATGCATTGAATACCGTTGGGCATGAGATCTGCTAACTAAGATGGACATGTCTCATTGCTTTGGACATTTTTCAGACTAAACGTTTCATCAGTGGCATACAATCCATATATTTTTTAGTTACAATCTCCTCTCTGTTTTTGTGTGATTCCAGTTTGCACCAAAGAACATCAAGAGTCTTTCTTCTTTTCTGTCCTTCTCCGCTGCCCCTCCTTCCTTTTCTTTATTGCAGCCGGTGGTGATTAGTGGTTAGGCCTAATGATGATGCTCCAGTCTGATAACACAATGTCTGAAAAAGAAAAGTGGGTGTGCGGAGAAGCTGCAGTAGGCAGGGGGGCCTGTTTTTATGATACTGTGAGGACCCAACACCTGGTTGGACACTCGCAGTGTGGGGACATCTGATCTTCTATTTAGAGAGGAGAGATTTTATACTGTATAGGTTTGGTAGCCAAATGTGCAGCTAATAACTCTTCATCAACCAGACTGTGAACTGTAAATTTGTCCAGGAAAATGAGATACAGAGATACAAACGGGCCATAAACTATTCCTGATGGGAGAAGTCTGGTTTTTTAAGTCAGACTTCAAAATTGGAAGTTTGTTTTACATTTGGTCTAGTAATCCTGAAAATGTTGAACTATATCTACTAACAAGTGAAATGAACTCGCTGACATTCAGTTTCAAGAGATCTCTGAAAACAGACAGGATTCAGTGTCGGAAAATACCAGATTAGCAGCTATTTGCTATCAGCCTTTTATTGCTCAAAGTGAATGAAGATGGATCGAGACGATCAGATTCAACTTTACAGTGCACTTTCAGGTCTGTTGTAATGTTTTACAGGCTACCAGCTATCTAACTAACTGGCATGCCGGTGTTAACTGGTTAGCTGTCAGGAGAAGCAGTCTGAAATTATTTTGTGATCCCATATTTCAAGGGTGTTTTCTTAAGCTCACCTTGTATTTATTCCATGATCTGAAGAGTCAAGTCAGTTTAATTTATTCATCCCAATAACTCAAATCACCAGGGAAGTTATTCATCGAAAATAATAATAATTTTGCATCATAATAAAACAGTAGGTTGAACACAAGTTGAACTTGATTACATTCAACTGTAATGTATTATATTGAACACTAAATACGTTTTTGTTAATCACAGGAAAAATAAATGCATACATACTGTACTTTTTCTCTCTGGCACATGCTACAGAGTCTGAGCTTGAAAATCTGGATTTATCTTTGCACAAAGTAGAATATTTGATTGAAACCTGTTTCATCCCTTCAAAAAATGCATGAATCTGTGGTAATGACATCCCTCTCGTAAGGAATGCTGCGTTCAAGTTCAGCCTCCAGTAATATGGTGCCACTATACAGGAAAACAATCTATAGGCTTTCAAATGGTAATGGGAAATGTTTGTTGTCTTATTGTTTGTTTGTAATATGTACACTCATAAAGCAGCATCGAGTGGATCATCCTGGTGAAATGAAGTAAATCTAAATGAACTGTTTTTATGTAGATGAGAACCTTGTCGGTCTGTCAGCTCTTCTTTCTGGTCGAATCTGTTGACAGTCATTATAAATAATCATGGTATCACTCTGCTCTCCAGGTGCCAAAACCACCTGATGCTGCAGCCTAATCTGGTCACCTGGGACTGAACACGCACACACACACACACACACACACATACACGGACATACGGACGGACGGCCAACATGGCGTCAGACCCACCCATACTGACAGAGCATCAGGAGCTGCAGAGGAGAGCCAATCAGGTCACGGATGAGGTGAGGAATGGACACTTTTTCTAGAACATCTAAGGCTTCCCTCCATTTCAAGTAATTGCTTTAATAAATATTAAAAACCCATTTTTTCAAAATGGATTTCCCCATTTAGAATAGGAAGGTATCAGATAACGTGTCAGATAAACACAGACATTGTAATAGACTCTTTAGTTGCAATAGTGTTTGACCAAAGTCGCCTCGCAAAGCCACAGCTTTCGTTTCCCTCACTGTATTCTGGCAAAACTCAATGTGCATTTTCACTGGTTTAATAAAGTAATGTGCAGGCGATTGGATGAGCTTCTAACCAAAATTGATCAATTAAAATCCAGAATACGGTGCTGCTTGTTGCCGCACCTTCTTTTCTGTTTTGTTGGCATCCTGCTGCCAGACTTAGTTGATCGCTTGTTTCCTCATTAAAAAGGGAGCTGGTGGATTAAGCTCATTATGGAGCTTTGTCTTTTCCCACCAGCAAACCCTTCAACTTACAGTTTACAATTACAGTAATTGTAAATGGAAAACCAAACTGGTGCATCTAGTGGTTTTATGATGGCTTCTTCAGAAGATTTGACCAAAACATTGCTGGCTAGACTTGTTTTCCAAAACGTAGATGGGATGTTTATTTTTCATAAAGATTACTTTATTGCGAAGACTATTTTCATTATGAAGTAGTCTGTCAATTAATGAACTTAGTATTCAAATTGTAATAAAATAATAAAAAGTGTTCCCAGAGTCTGAGGGGACGTTCTCGAGTATCTTGTTTTATGGCGTTGTCCGGTCTGGGAGTTGTCCGTGTTTTCATCTTCGAACTCTAACCCTCTCACAGTGTTTTTTCAATTCATAAAAGTTTATTGTAACATTTTGGTTGCCTTAAAATGTCTTATTCAGTCTTTCCTTTGGAGCTTCTGAGGAAAGTGGCTGTAGTGTCTAACGCACATTAACCTTTCATCACACACAAATACCGGGCTCAAACAAAAGATCCAAAATTATCAAGGTGACAAGAAGAGGGACAGAGACTATATATAATAATAGCATTGGGGTAATTGATTATGACAGTGGTTCTCAAACTGTGGGGTGCGCCCCTCTAGTGGGGTGCGGTGGTATTACAGGTGGGGCACAGGGGGAAATGCAGAATCTTTTTTTTTTTTTTTTAAGTAATTAATAAATGCATGGCAAAATGTATGGAAGCCCGTTTCTGCCACTGTGAGGAAAAATTACAGATCCTGTAAGTCATTATAATGAGATACTATCTCAAAATAATGACTTAGCATCTCATAATTATGACTTAGCATCTCATAATTATGACTTAGCATCTCATATCAGCCAATTGTAATAAGCTATTTTTTGCCAAATTGTAGTTCTTTTTTGCACAGATTGAACTTTATTTGCATTGGTCTAACAAAGTGATTGCACATTTTATTTGTTTTTGTCTGATGGAGCAATCTGGTTTACTTGAAATTGATTGCAATTTTCTTTATTCTATTATTTGAAAAAGCACGGACGTAGGAGTCACAAAATGTTATTTCAATAAAAATTCAACATAGACCATTTTGTTACAATTTTGTTGGGGTGGTGGGGCATGAACATTTTTCTTCCTCCAAAGTGGGGCGCGACAGAAAACCTTTGAGAACCACTGGATTATGAGTTGTGTATATGACAAATATTGAGTTAATCATTTCATTGAGTTATGGAGAAGGGGTCGGGGGACCGTATAGATACTTCTACAGCCGGCGTCATCATCCATCCATTTTCCTCCGCTTATCCGGGATCGGGTCGCGGTGGCAACAGGCCAAGCAGGCTGACCCAGACTTCCCTCCCACCGGCAACATGTTCCAGCTCATTCTGGGGGATCTCGAGGCGTTCCCAGGCCAGCTGGGAGATGGAATCCCTCCAGCGTGTTCTGGGTCTTCCCCGGGGTCTCTTCCCAGTTGGACGTGCCTGGAAAACCTCCAGTGGGAGGCGTCCAGGAGGCATCCTAATTAGATGCCCGAACCACCTCAGCTGACTCCTTTCGATGCGAAGGAGTAGCGGCTCGACTCCAAGCTCCCTCCTGATGACCGAGCTCCTTACCCTATCTCTAAGGCTGAGCCCGGCCACCCTACGGAGGAAGCTCATTACGGCCGCTTGTAGCCGCGACCTTGTCCTTTCGGTCACGACCCAGAGTTCGTGACCATAGGTGAGGGTAGGAACGTAGACCGAGTGGTAAATTGAGAGCTTTGCCTTCCGGCTCAGCTCCCTCTTCACCAAGACGGTCCGGTGAAGCGCCTGCTTTACTGCTGTAGCCGCACCGATCCGTCTGTCGATCTCCCGCTCCATCTTACCCTCACTCGTGAACAAGACCCCGAGATACTTGAACTCCTTCGCTTGAGGTAGGCACTCCGTCCCCACCTGGAGGGAGCAATCCATCGGTTTCCGGCAGAGAACCATGGCCTCAGATTTGGAGGTGCTAACTCTCATCCCCGCCGCTTCACACTCGGCTGCAAACCGCCCCAGTGAATGCTGGAGGTCACGATCCGAGGAGGCTAACAGGACCACATCATCTGCAAACAGCAGAGAGGCGATCCCGAGACCCCCGAACCTGACGTTCTCCACCCCCCGGCTGCGCCTAGATATCCTGTCCATGAAAGTCACGAACAGGACCGGAGACAAAGGGCAGCCCTGGCGGAGGCCAACACCCACCGTGAACATGTCTGACTTATTGCCGAGAATGCGGACACAGCTCCTACTGCAGTCGTACAGAGACCGGATCGCCCGTTGTAATGGGTCCGGCACCCCATACTCCCGCAGCACCCCCCACAAGAACCCCCGAGGGACCCGGTCGAAAGCCTTCTCCAAGTCCACAAAGCACATGTAGACTGGTTGGGCAAACTCCCAGAACCCCTCCAGTAGTCTTGCGAGGGTAAAGAGCTGGTCCACTGTTCCACGGCCGGGACGGAATCCGCATTGCTCCTCTTGAATCTGAGGTTCGACAAACGGTCGGAGCCTCCTTTCCAGCACCCTGGCATAAGCCTTCCCCGGGAGGCTGAGTAGTGTGATACCCCGGTAATTCGAGCACACTCTCCAGTCCCCCTTTTTGAAAATGGGAACCACCACCCCGGTCTGCCAGTCCATGGGCACTGATCCCGACCCCCATGTGACATTGAAGAGGCGTGTCAGCCAGGACAGCCCAACTATGTCCAGCGCTTTCAGCATCTCAGGGCGGATCTCATCCACCCCCGGCGCCTTGCCACCGAGGAGCTTTTTGACTACCTCAGCGGCCTCTGCCAGGGATATGGGTGAGCCTCCCCCTAGATCTTCAAGCGCTGCCTCCTCTGCAGAGGACATGTTGGTCGGATTTAGGAGTTCCTCAAAGTGCTCTTTCCACCGCCCGACGATGTCCCCTGTCCGGGTCAGCAGTTACCCCCCCCCTGCTGAGAACAGCCTGGGGTAAGCCCTGCTTTCCCTTCCGGAGTCGTCGGCTGGTTTGCCAGAACCTTCTTGAGGCCAACCGAAAGTCCTTCTGAATGGCCTCCCCGAACTCCTCCCATGCCCGAGTTTTAGCATTTGCGACCACCGCAGCTGCAGCCCTTCTGGCCTGCCGGTACCTGTCAGCTGCTTCGGGAGACCCCTGGGCCAACCAGGCCTTGAAGGTCTCCTTCTTCAGCTTGACGGCTTCCCTCACCTCTGGTGTCCACCACCGGGTTCTTGGGTTGCCGCCACTACAGGCACCGATGACCTTCCGGCCACAGCTCCTAGCGGCCGCGTCCACAATAGAGGCTTTGAACATGGTCCATTCGGATTCCATGTCTCCAACCTCCCTCGGGATGTGTGAGAAGTTCTTCCGGAGGTGGGAGTTAAAGACCTCCCGGACAGGGCCCTCCACCAGACGGTCCCAGTTCACCCTCACTACACGTTTGGGCTTGCCGGGTCTTTCCAACCGGTTCCCCTGCCATCTGATCCAACTCACCACCAGGTGGTGATCAGTTGACAGCTCTGCTCCTCTCTTCACCCGAGTGTCCAAAACATACGGCCGCAAATCAGATGATACGATTACAAAGTCGATCTTTGATCTCCGGCCTAAGGTGTTCTGATACCAGGTACACTTATGAGCCACCTTATGTTCGAACATGGTGTTCGTTATGGCCAAACCATGGCACGCACAGAAATCCAATAACAAAACACCATTCGGGTTCAGATCGGGCAAGCCATTCCTCCCAATCACCCCCAGCCAGGTTTGTCCGTCATTGCCCACGTGAGCGTTGAAGTCCCCCAGGACAACTATGGAGTCGGTAGGCGGCGCCCTTTCCAGGACCCCTCCCACCGACTCCAAGAATGCCGGATACTCTGAACTGCTGTTTGGTGCATAAGCACAAACCACAGTCGGAGCCTTGCTCCCCGCAACCCGTAGGCGCATGGAGGCGACCCTCTCGTTCTCCGGGGAGAACTCCAACACAGCGGCGCTCAGCCGGGGGCTCGTGAGTATCCCCACTCCCGCCCGGCGCCTCTCACGCTGGGCAACTCCGGAAAAGGACAAAGTCCAACCCCTCTCCAGGAGCTTGGTTCCAGAGCCAGCGCTGTGTGTGGAGGTGAGTCCAACTATATCTAGCTGGTACCGCTCCACCTCCTGCACCAGCTCCGGCTCTTTCCCCGCTAGCGAGGTGACGTTCCACGTCCCTAGAGCTAGTCTATGCTGCCGGCGATCGGCTCGCCCAGGCCTCCTGCCTGACCCGCCGCCCGGTCTGCATTGCACCCGACCCCGATGCTTATCCCTGCAGGTGGTGGGTCCACCGGGTGGCTGCTCCATGCTGTTTATTCGGGCTGAGCCCGACCGGGCCCCATGGGCGAAGGCCCGGCCACCAGACGCTCGCCGACGAGCTCCCCTCCTGGGTCTGGCTCCGGGAGGGTGCCCCGGTTTCCCTGGTCCGGGCGAGGTGACTGAAGTCCGTGGGCTGCTTTTCATTGGGGTCGTTTTGAAGCGCTCTTAGTCTGGGCTCTCCCCTGAGACCTGTTTGCCTTGGGAGACTCTACCAGGGGCTAATGACCCGGACAACATAGCTCCCAGGATCACTGAGCCACTCAAACTCCTCCACCACGTTAAGGTGGCGATTCGCGGAGGAGCCGGCGTCATCAAAAATATGCAAAAGCATGTTGGCAACGGAAGTGACGTTTTGCACCAGCCATCCAGACCAACCAACAACCAGCATCAACATGTCTAGCTGTTGCGTGTTCAGTTGTCTAAATCCATATTTTAACTCTCAAGTTCTACAGAATTCCAACAGCATCACGACAGTTTAAGGTGTTTCAGGTGTTCAACAGATATTTTTAGTTCAATGAGTAACTGTGTTAACTGGTGACTTTCAGCCGAATGCGTCGATGGTTGCTCATAGTAAATGGTTGGCGTGAATATGCAACACAGACTAGTAAGGAATTATTTGAAGACTTTTACAAGGAAACATATAGTATATCTTCTGTTTGTGTTTTCAACATCTACCGTCACTACGAGCAACCATGACGCGTCACCCTATTAAACGTGATGGCTACCACTGGTCTGATCAAAACTACATGTGTTTATAAAGCCCAATTCAAAACTCAATCAGGTCAAACCTCTGAGTCTCTGTCTTGGTTTTTGACAACAAAGTTGAAGCATCTAGCGACTTGTCTGCTGGTGATCGCTGGTGTAACGTTACACGCTGGGTTTCTCCACCAAATACATGTCTATTTAGTGCCACTAAATATTGGGCCATGTACTCTACTTCCTCACTAATAGGAAACAGATCTGGAAAGTCAATTTGTTCAGGTTGCAATTGCCATCTTTGGTGGTTAATGTCTGCGTTCTCTGCATCGTCAGTTGTTTAGAAAATGAAATAATAAGTGTGTACTTCTTCATACACCTTTTCAGACATATATAAACAATATTTATGTTGCTTATGAGAATGTGTTTGCTATACATTTACTTTAAGACATCTAAAAATACACAGAATATTGAACGTGACACACAGGAGACGGGATGTTGCTGATGTCTCGCAACCTGCTGTGAGCGACAGAGAACACTGCTCTGTCGGAGGGGAGTGTCCCTGTAAGGACACCTGGCTCACCTGGTTGCCATAGAGACAACTGGTCTCCCAGTGACACCATCTGCAAAGGAGACATCAGGCATGGATGAGCTTATACACTCAGTCACACAACACACACCACAGGGTTTAAAGGTTACTGCAAGTCAAAGCCATTTGTCACCTCGTCATCCCCTCGGTGGGGAAGACCCCAGGGATTAATATGATATTTACACAATACATACACGCACACACACACACAGCAAGGGGCGGAAAGACTGGAGAGGAATTTTCCCTGTGTGAGAGTACAGTGTAATTGCAGTTCAGGGTTCAGGTCAAAACAGCAGTTGATATATATATATATATATATATATATAGATATATAATGTTTTCTCCTTCAGAAAATGTTTGGTAAGCTCTAAGTAAAAAATACTTTACACTTTATAGGTCAGTTATTTCCTGAAAAAAAAAAGTGTTTTGATATCAATTATGAGAAAAAAGACAAGATGAAAGATGGCATTAATTTGTTGTATTTTCTTTTAAAAGCTTGATGTGTTTCAGAGGATTTTAATTGGGAAAATTGCTTAATTTAAACCCAACTGAACATCCATTAATAGTGAATTTATTATTGTTAATTCAAGTTTTTTATACAAGCTGAATTATATGTTTGCCCGTAGATGATATTGAATGTTGAAGCATCCATTTTTTGTGTCTTTCAGTCCCTGGAGAGCACCAGGCGGATGATGCAGCTGGTTGAGGAGGTACATACGCTCATCATATATTCAATCATATATTTTTATTAGTGCTGGGCAACGATTAAAATATTTAATCGCGATTAATCGCATTGTTATGGCAAAGTTCAATAATGAATTCAAAAGTAGTGTATTGCGCAAAGTGAAAGTACTGCTATATGAACAAAAGTGCAATAACATTTGGTTTGCAAACACTTTTAACAAATAAGGTTAACAGCAGTATTCCCTTTACACAGCAGCAGTTATACAGTTATAATGATTCTGATAATAGATATTCAGCCGGTGTTCATAACTTCATCTTCATGTGTGTAATAGATGCAATTTAAATATACACCTTGAAAACTGCAAACCTATCTACTTCTTTTTTTTGTTTGTTAAATTCTCAGTAGCGATAACTAAATGATGCTTATTATACATATTACAAACAAAAACACTTTAAAAACTCGACAATATGTATTTTAATATTGTCACTGTTTGATTGCATGATTTACTTTTATTGTGAAGAGCATGAAAACGGAAGTGCTTTTACTTTGAAGAGACAGGAAGTAGAATGGTACGTGTTCTTGACGCTAACAATGTTGATACGTAGAAAACCACATGTCGGGTGCAAGAGCGCGTTGTGTTCACTGTAACACTAATACTGCAGTTCAGACAGTAAAGTGTTCCGTTCAAACAAGACGTGTCTTGGTCCTCACGAGAAGCTCCACTTCACAACAGTCACGTTTGATCTGTAACGAGACGATCGCGCTCGCGTGTGTGTGTGTGTGTGTTTGTGAGACAAGAGTGAACGACGGTGACGGAGTGTAGGAGGGGTTCTGGACCCGGGGGGGAGAAGGAAGTGATGCCACACGAACACAGCTGTTCACTGCTTGCTGCCTGGTTCTTGTGTTAAAAATGTCTGCTTAATAATAAATAAATAAAAAACTGCGTTAACGCGCGATAATATAATTGTTGCCGTTAATTAATTAATGCATTAACGCGATAATAACGTGTTAACTTGCCCAGCACTAATTTTTATATATGTAAATACATAACTAGCGAGGCCTGCAGCGATTAAAAGACAGACAGTCAGAGAGCCAGAGAGAGAGAACCTCATCATGAAGTTCATCCTCATTATGTATGTTAGCGGCGCCATCTTTACATAAGTTATTTCCACAGAGATGTCTTTAAACAAGACCAATGGTGGGATGTGATTGAGTTTAGGCTGCTGGGAAGCAATTTTGGGTTTTGACACACGGAAAACAAGAGCCGAGACGACACAATAGGAAAGACTACATCCTGGTCAGACGTACATGTACAGTAACCCCAAATACCTTGAAAAAGAATTACCTTACTGCTATTTATATTGTTTGTCATCCAGGTAGTCACTTTGAACTTGCTGCAGATAGACAATTTATAACATTGATGACATTGATTTGAAAATTGCATTCAAGGACGCTTGAACATCTGAGACAGACGGCATCGCCACATGACAACCGTATATAATCTATCTACAAGTGTATGCGAGCTGATTTTCACAGATAGAAACCCATGGATGCCTGGAAAAGGAGAAATCCTGGACCATAACAGCTTGATAGTAATGAGTATTCTATATTCACATGGTTTCATGTGCTCCTTCTTGCAGAGTAAAGATGCTGGGATCAGAGCTGTGGTTATGCTGGATGAACAAGGAGGTAATCAGTTCTGTTTGGTCCCTCTTTAAATTCTCCTTTGTTTAGTCTTGTTCACTGTGTTCTCAACTGTAAGCTAGAAAAAGCTGTGTTTACCATTAAAGACGGAAGCAAGTTTTGCTCTGATATTTCAGTATTGCTTAAAATCTAAGACATCAATAATACCTTCATCCCTGCAAGCTTGATTGTGTTACAGTAGTTCTGTGACTAAAACCCAGCACAAAGACAGGAAGCAGGACAAACTGCCGTGCTGTCGAACAACTTTAAAGTTGTCCTGTTCACACACGCATTTCAGTTCCGGTTTTACAAAGGTTTAACATGTATTGTTATTGTGCTGCAATGTCATACAATAGTGAATTTGCAGATTCAGTATTGCCAAACGGACAAGTTAGCTTCTCGGCGTCTTTCCAGTCAGTCCAACGAATGATTCATAAGACCTTTTAGTTAGTTCACATGTTGTATGAAAACTGTCAACACTCAAGGACATCTCAAATATGAGCTTTCATTTATGGGGTTTGTCAGAATGGTCTGAACATGTCGGTCTGAACACGTCCCTGACCAATCAGGTAAGTCGGCTTACTGTCCGTCTCTACTGTTACGACCATTAAACCCAGTGCCATAAAACTCCCATTCCTCACAGAGCAGTTGGAGCGTATTGAGGAAGGCATGGACTCCGTCAACAGGGACATGAAAGAGGCCGAGAAGAACCTGACAGACATGGCCCAGTGCTGTGGTCTGTGTATCTGGCCAATCAGGAAGTAGGTCTTGGTTTCCGGGAACTGCACCTCAACGGTGGCCTAAAAAAAAAAAAAACATACTGGTGCCCAGTTCCATTAAATTAGCTTGAATAAGGATTTTGATATTGAGAATTTGGTCCATCCATCCATCAACCTGTCAATCCACCTATCCATCCATCCATCAATCCATCAACCCGTCAATCCACCTATCCATCCGTCCACCCATCCATCCATCCACCCACCCATCCATATATCCATCAATCCATCCA